CAAAGGTGGTTGCAACCAGGTGTCGCAAACCATTTTTATATGTCGCAAATATGGTTGCAACCATCACCAAGAATTGCAATCAGCATTTACAGTATATTATTAAATACTGATCTATTTTTTTTACTGGCAAAGAAAATTCACCTTTATGCAAATGTAATTAATGATCATCATACTACATTGCTTATCAATAAAAAAACCATTGTTTGAACGAATTTTACATTCAAGAATACATTTATAAATCTTTGTTTTTTTTTCATTTCTATTATTACAGTATTAGTTGAATTAAAATAAAAATGTCATTTATTTAATTCATTGTCCGTAAAAAAAATTTTTTAATTCCAAGTCATGTGCCACTAATTTATCATTGGTCGAAATTATGCATAAGAAACGATAAAAAAAAATTTTTTTAAATAATTAATGTCCAATTTTTACAAAATGGCAACTATGGAAGGAATCAAAAATCGAGAAAGCATTGTACTTGAAGAGTATGAAGAGGTGAAGAAGAAGTTGAATGAGTGGGAAGGAGGGGAGAATTGTGGGAAGTGGTTGAACGAGTTGAGGGTGAATTTGGTTAAGAGAAAATATGAGGACGTAGGACAGAAGAAAGAGTGGGAAGATATGGTAAAGAAATTGGAGGAAGAAAAGAAGATGTTGGAGAATAAGGAAAGAGAAAGATGGGCGTTGTATGAAGAAATTTTACATGGAGGAAAAGGTAACAAACAAATTGTGTAAAAAAAATTATTTTCCATTTATTTTATTTATTCATTCATTTGTATACTGTTTGAAATGTTTGACTAACATCTACTCATTTATACATCCTCATCCATACATTCTAATTTTGGACATGTCTTAATCAGGTATGTTTTGTTAATGTAGGAATTAACCTATTGTGGTGGCTTCAGCAGAAGGTGAACAGAATTTGCACTCATCATTTTATTTGTTCAGGTTCTAAAACCCCACCAAAAGAAACTTGGCAAGATATCGAAGTAGAGCTGGATGCATTATTTAACAAAATTAAACCAGATATTGTCAAATTTTCTAAAACTAATTATCAACCATTTTCCACATGTGCTCATGGTTCAGTTCAAGTATGTTTTATGAATAAGCATCCCACTTTGCTTTTATCAGAACTTCCATCAATAGGAGAATGTGGATGGACAAAATACAGTGACATCAATCTGAATATTGGTTTTGGATATATCTTGGGAACATCAGGCTGTGGAAAAACTAGAACTGTCTTTGAAATATTATGCAAGCACTTTGGCTTGTATATGGTTGCTGAACACCAAGGAAATCTTGGGTCTAGTGAGTTAGCAGAGATTCGTGTTCGATTGAAGAAATGAATAGAAGATGTTTCCATTCATGATAGAAATGACATTGCAAAACGATACTATGAACAAGGACTATTATCAAGATATATTATTCTATTAAGGCTTTTGAAATGTGGTTGTACTGAACCTTGTCAATGGTTATATCTTCAGTTGTTTCCATATATTGATGGGATTGGTGATATATTTGTACAAACAATGGAAATCCTTCAGGCTGCTAATTCTTTAGATCTCTCAAACTATCTTGAACAGTGTGAACAGACTCTTATTGAGATGACTAACCAAAGGAAGCTACCTATTTTCTATGATGAAGCACAAATTGATGGCAATGAAATGGTGGATATGTTTTTATCAAGTTTTCAACCACTTCCTAATGATGAAAACAAGATTGATAAAAAGGTATTATTTATTAATTTTTGGTGATTTATTGACAAATTGATTTACTTCAGGCTGATCAATCACAAATCTATTCAGAATTGCGACCACTTCTGAGCATTTCAGTGGAAACATTTCTACGATCAAAAGTTTGCCTATATCTATGTGGTTCTGGTCTCTCAATTACAAATGCAATGAAAATCTTACAGTCAAAAATTTCCAAGTTTTCTTTGGAACCTGAAAGATATGTCAACTTTGGTGGATTTGATGATTATGAATCATTTCAAACTTTTATAAGACGTTTTATTGGGGTTGGGGAGATTGATGATCATTCATTAGAAGATGCATTTATCTGGTTACGTGGACGATTCAGGTTTACAACATCATACTTGGAACTAATTTTTGGTGGCCTTGAGCATACTTTAGCATTACAAACAATAAAGCATGTTGTTGCCAATATAGAAAATGAAGGTCCCACTCTTCCTGCCACTCTTTTCACCTCTGATTATTCTCTCCTGTTGATGGGAATGGTTCGGTTCGGTTCAGTTTGGTTTATAAACTGCCAGTTTGACTAGTGATTGACAGTTTACTGATCACAGTTTGAACCGCGGTTCAAACCCAAGTTTAACCATGGTTTTATAATTTTATTGGCCAAGTTAAATTTAAGAATTTTATTTTTATAATTTTATTGATCAAGTTAAATTTAAGAATTTTATTTTTATAATAAAATGAAAAAAATTATTTTTTTAAAAAAACAAATTAATTTGTTCCAATAATCAAACCACTTTTAAACATCATTACTATCTTCTTCATCAGAAAGTTCATATTCTTGTCCAATTTTTTCAGAAGTCCAGCTTTTTAAGCATAACAAACCTCGTGATGTTTCAGGATCTAGGCGATTCCTTAATTTAGATATTGTCAATCCTGCAACAGAAAAGGATTGTTCACATGGAACTGAGGTAGATTGTATTGCCAAGTAATCCTTTGCTAATTCAGATAGAGATGGAAAAGTTTCTTTATGTGTACACCACCACATGAGGGGATTGCATTCATTTTCTTTTGCTAATAATAAATATTTTTCTACTTCATCATTTGTATGAGTATTATTTGTAGGAAGGAACTGACTAGCTAAGCTTCTTATATGTGCACATGCATCAATTCTATTTTTAATTGTTTGTGATGGTGATGTTTGGTTATTGGTGGTGATAGTTGATGTATTATTGTTATTAATGTTAAAACTTGAGTTGTAATGAATTAATTTACATTTTATTGCAGTTACTGTTCTTGTAATTTCATCAGTTGTAAAAGTTGAGCATTTGGTATAGGGATCCAATAATGATGCTATCATTTTTGCTTCATCAGGTAATTTGAAATATTGTTCTAATTTATATAAAATTGAGTTTGCTACTATATATTGTGCATTGCTAACTTTTATCTGTTTATGTAGGTTTTTCACTAGTGTCCACAGTGTAAAATGAAATTCTCCAATTGTAGAATAATTGGATGATGAAAACAGTAATGTTGCTGAATAAAATGGTGATAAAACATCAATCAACTCCTTTAAATAAAAATAGAGCAATTTTTTATTTTAACATATGTCCTAATATTAATAAATCTAAATGTTTTGTAATTAAATTAACACCTACATTTATTTTAAGCCAGTCATTTTCATCAGGATTGAGATGATTTAATATATCAGGATGTTGTGCTGCCAACATACTTGCTTGTGTTTTAAATTGTTTCATTTTGTTGAGCATTAAATAGGTGGAGTTCCACCTGATCTCTACATCAAGTTGTGGTGATAAAAATTCAATTGATTGTGAATGAAATATTCGCTTAAAATCCTCCATAAGATTAATAGAGTTACGAATTTTTTTCATGAAATTGCGTACTTTTTTAATTGTGTCATCATGAACTTGCAGCCCATGCTGTACAGCAATATTAAGTATGTGAGCACCACAACGATGGTGAGTAACATGTGGATTATTATGATTAATACCCAACTCACTTTTTATTCCTCTTCCAAAAGCTACCATTGCAGATGCATTATCTGTTGTTATTCCTAATACCTTTGATGACACACCTAATTCTTCTAAAAGAATTTTTACAGCATTCACCATATTTTCAGCACTGTGTGATTCATGAAATGGTATAATGTCAAGTAAAAAATGTTTCAGTTTCCATTCATCATTGATATAGTGACAAGTAACCCCAAGAAATGATGTGTGAGAATTTTCAGATGTCCAAATATCCAATGTTAATGATATTTTATTTTTTACATCTTGAATATGGTTTTTAACATGTCATCATTGTTTCGTGAATTTTTTGACAATTTGATTTTTAATGTATTTACGACATGGCATTTGGTAAGGTGGATCGAATTTCTTAATCATTTCTATAAAAAAATTATCCTCTACAATAGAAAAAGGTTGCATATTCATAATTATCCAATTGATCATAACTTTAGTTTTCATAAAATTTTCTTTGGGGGGATATGGGTTAATTCATTGAAAATTTAAAGTTGTTTGAACACATCTTTGATATTCATTTGGATGTTTGGTTTTGATGTGATTTTTTAAAGTACCAGTTGAAGTTTTCCCAATTCCACTATATGTAGCTGCACAAACACGACACTTCTGAATTTCATTATTTCTTGTAAAATATTCATCTACTTTTGAAGTAGTTCTAATTATTTGTGAATTATTAGGAATTTGAACAATTGATGATGATGATGAT